GTCCCTGAGATATATCCTATTATTATCCCATTTTGCAGATGAGGAAACTGAGGCACAGAGATTTTAAGAATATCGCTCAAGGTCCATATTGGTAGTTAGTGGGAAAGTCAGGTGTCATATCCAGGCAGTCTGTTCCAGAGATAAAACAATGATATAAAAACCAAGGCAATGGAAACATAATTAATTAATGACTTTGATAAATATTTTTCTGAAAATATCAGCTCGTTATTGGTTTCTACCTATAACCTGTTTTCAAAATTGTCATTGATTTTAAAGAAAATTTATATGCAAGGAGTTACGATAGGCACCATTACAATTATCTCTTGTTAGTCTGTAGCATTAGTTGATAATAACAAATTGATCGTCTTAGATATTCTTTTGTTTTTTTTCAGTCAGAGTCTCACTCTGTTGCCTGGGATAGAGTGCCATAGCATCAACCTAGCTCACAGCAACCTCAAACTCCTGGGCTCAAGTGATCCTCCTGCCTCAGCCTCCTGAGTAGCTGGGACTATAGGCATGTGCCACCATGCACGGCTAATTGTTTCTATATATTTCTAGTTGGCCAATTAATTTCTTTCTATGTTTAGTAGAGATGGGGTCTCGCTCTTGCTCAGGCTGGTTTCAAACTCTTGACCTCTTTTTTTTTTTTTTTTTTTTTTTGAGACAGAGTCTCACTTCATTGCCGAGGCTAGAGTGAGTGCTGGCATCAGCCTAGCTCACAGCAATGCAAACTCCTGGGCTCAAGCAATCCTCCTGCCTCAGGCTCCGGAGTAGCTGGGACTACAGGCATGTGCCACCATGCCTGGTTAATTTTTTCTCTATATATTAGTTGACCAATTAATTTCTTTCTATTTATAGTAGAGATGGGGTCTCACTCTTGCTCAGGCTGGTTTCAAACTCCTGATGTCGAGCAATCCACCTACCTCAGCTTCCCAGAGTGCTAGGATTACAGGCGTGAGCCACCGGGCCCAGCCTGAACTCTTGACCTTGAGTGATCTTCTAGCCTAGGCCTCCTAGAGTGCTAGGATTACAGGTGTGAGCCACTGCACCCGGCCTGATTGTCTTAGATATTCTTGATCTTACATATCATCTATTATTTTAAATTAGGAAGATATAATAAAGCCTCAAAAAATATTCAAGGGGAATGATAACATTTGTATTCAGACTATAACAAACATTATTTTGTTACCATATCATATATAGATATACAGAATGTCCATGCCATCTGGGTAGGTTCTTCCATTAAAGTAAAACAAAACGTGTCGTGGCTTGATTGAACTTTAGCCCAGCCCGTAGAAACCCAGTGACTTGACTTACCAGTAGGGAATGCTTCAAAACACTACTTGGATGGAAATATTGTGTTATACCCCGAAAGTGCTATCAAATGAGAATTAGTTTTGTATGTAACCTTAGGGGGGATCCCAACCTAATTCATGACCGAATAACTCAGTCAATGGGAGGACAGAGTGGACGAGGTGAGGTACAGGCCAGGCAACTTGGTACTGTGGCCTGACACCACACACCGGAGCTGGTTACCAGGAAAGCGAGTATGGGTGATTGGTGGAAATCATCCCTCAACTAGAAAACCAAGTCAGATACAGGTTTTTTAGTGATGAATAAAGTTTTTCCTTCTATGTGGAAGAAATGTTATATTACACCAGGAAGCTTAGGAGTCTTTAATATTTGTGTGGTTTGTACAGTGAAAAAAAAGCCTTTTTGACACATTTTCAAGTCAGATTCTTGGCTTAGTTTTCCCAAGGTCTGGCAAGTAGATTTAATGGGTTGTAACTACAGGCATGACGAATTTCAACACAATATTGTGGGTGTGATTCACAAACTTGAGGTTACTGAGGTTACTATACCACTACTGGCTACACGGCTATTAGTATGGACACACGAAGGTTAGGATTGTTCTAAAATCAGCCCCTTCCTCATGCTAGGCTTAACTGGTCCTTTTTTTTTTTTTTTTTAGGTGGAGGCCAAAATGTGTGTGTGTGTGTGTGAGTGCACATGTGTGCACATGTATGCACATGTGTGCGTATGTAGACGTGTGGTGCCTGGAGTCTCTTGTCAAGGATATTAGTAAACAGAGAATATGAGAATTGTATCCAATAAAGAATTTCATGGTTCTGCTAATACAGTATTGTTGTGGGTTGAATTGTGTCAAAAAGATATCTTTAATTCCTAACTTCTATACCTGTGAACGCAATCTTATTTGGAACTAGGGCCTTGTAGATGTACTCAAGTTCAGATGAGGTCATAGTGGAGTAGGATGGGCCCTAAATCCAATATGACTGATGTCCTTATGAGGAAAACAGACTCGAGGCACACGTAAGAGGACAACGCCACGTGAATACGCACACGTGCGCACAAACACATAGAAGGCCACGTGATAACAGATGGTGACACAGTTGCAAGCCAAGGAACATCAGGGATTGTAGGCAGCCACAAGAAACCAGGAAGACGCATGGAAGAATTTTCCCCTAGAGTCTTCGTAGAGAGCATGGCCCTGGGGACACCATGGATTTGGACGTCTAGCCTCTAGAACGGTGGAAGGATAAATTTCTGTTAAGTGTTCTAGTGTTTGTGGTACTTTGTTATGGCAGCCCTGGGAAACGAATACAAGTATCCTGTCCCACTGAGGTGTTGGGGGTCAAAATAGGAAAGTGGGAAGCTCTTGGGATGAATCCTGAAATGTGGACTAATGTTAATGGTTTAAGTGCTCTGAGCTTGCTGGGATAGTGGGGGTCTATCAAAAGTCCTACTTCTGCAGCCCCTCCTTTGTATGGAGCCGGTTTTGAATTTCTCTCATGATGAGCCTGCCTGATGTACCCTTCCTTGCAAACCTTCCGAAGGGCGAGGAAGATCACCCAGACCCCTGTTCTGGTCCCTCCCTCTCCCAGGGGACCAGTTTTGTGTACGATGCTGTCATTTAGTGGTGGGGGTGAGAGTGCAGATGGGGGTGGGAATTTGTTGCAGGGATCTTGGCCTCAGAGGTGTAGCTGAGACTGATAAAAACGCTCTGTGCATTGACGGAAGGAAGAAGGCTCTCTGGTTGGTGGCCTTTGTAACCTGAGAGATTCTCCCACTTTTGGCAGGGATGCAGTGTGTATATATTATTTTGTTTGTTTGTTTTTTGGAGACAGGGTCTCGCTCTGTTGGTTGGGTGTGAGGGCAGTGGCATCATCATCGCTCACAGCAACCTCAAACTCCTGGGCTCAAGTGATCCTCCTGTCTCAGCCTCCCAAGTAGGTGGGACTACAGGCGTGCGCCACCATGCCCAGCTAAGTGTATATATTAGAAAGACAGCCATGGTCTCTTCCACTCAGATGCATGCTTTTTGGGGGTGGAACCTTAGAACCAGTTGTCATGCTCATCATGCCACCTTTTGATAAGGTGGTGTTACAGCTTAGGGTTTCTGGAAACAGACACTGAGGTGAAGTTTGGTGTGTAAGATGTTTATCAGAAATTTGTACTTTTTTTTTTCCCTTGAGACAGAGTCTAACTCTGCCTGGGCTAGAGTGCCTAGGCATCAGCCTAGTTTACGGCAACCTCAAACTCCTGGGCTCAAACAATCCTTCTGCCTCAGCCTCCCAAATAGCTGGGAATACAGGCATGCACCACCATGCCTGGCTAAGTTTTTGTATGTATTTTTAGTTGGCCAATTAATTTCTTTCTATTTTTAGTAGAGACAGGGTCTCGCTCTTGCTCAGGCTGGTCTCGAACTCCTGAGCTCAAACGATCTGCCCGCCTCGGCTTCCCAGAGTGCTAGGATTACAGGCATGAACCACCACGCCCAGCCTAGAAAAGCACTTTTTAAATAGAAAAAGCTTATAGGGTAAGGATATAAAGAAAGAAGATATTTTTGTGCACCTGTACGATGTGTTCATGTTTTAAGTGAAAGTATTACTACAAAAGAATCAAAGAGTTAAAAAAAATTAATAAGTTTATAAAGCAAGGTACTTGCTGTACTTACTAACCTTGTAAGCTAAGGTTAATTTATTATTGAATAAAGAATAATTTTTTATAAATTAATTCTTTAACCAATTTAGTGTAGCCTAAATGTACAGTATAAAATCTACAGTAGTGCACAGCAATGTCCTCAGTCTTCACATTCACTCACTGACTCCGCAGAGCAACTTCCAGTCCTATGAGCTCCATTCATGGTAAATGCCCTACGCAGGTGTACCAGTTTTTACCTTTTTGTATTGTATTTTTGCTGTACCTTTTCTATGTTTAGATGTGTTTAGACACACAAATACTTACCATTGTGTGGCAGGTGCCTACAGTATTTAGTGCGGGAACACACTGTACAGATTCGTAGCCTAGGAGCAATAGGCTAAGCCACACAGGTGAGCAGTAGGCTATACTATCTTGGTTAGTATTAATGTAAGTACACTCTGATGTTCGCACGACAAAATCATCTGATGATGCAACACATTTCTCAGAATGTGCCCCCATGGTTAAGCAATGCATAGTTAATATAGATGCAGTTAAGCCTTGGCCAGCCCAGAAGGGAGCTCTAGAGTAAGTATTGCCCATTACGGTTGTCCCATGTTGGGCCCAAGTGACTGAGTCTTTGCATCCCTGCTGTTCTCACTCAGCACATGTGGGCTTCCGTGGGCAGGGCCTGACCTCACTCAAAGGGATTCTCTGCAGGAGGAGTTGGCTGTAGTCAGCTGTCTGCTGATGACACTCGCATAGCTGGGCAGCAAATCCCTCCTTGAGGCCAGATTGAGTGGTACACCTCTGTGTCCACTATGTAGGTGGTGGTCCACTTGGGTGACTTAGGTCCCTAAAGTCCTGGAAAGATGCTTAAGTGGTGGTAGTTCTGGGAGTTGTGGGGAAATCATAAGGAAGTATTTTGGGTATAGAATGTGCTCATTTGATAGGTAGACTGGTCATGTTGTGTGTAGGAGATATAAATATGGAGTATTTCTTCTAGAACTTTTTTGGTTTTCTTGGAATATAAACAGTGGACAGACGGAGGAAGCATTAAACAGCTCCTTTAGCAATCAGCATATAAATTGGGAGATCAGACTAGCAATCAGGTGACTAAATGTGTAGAGGCATGATATCTCTTTGTAATACATGGTAGCAGAGATAGATGTGGATATGTAAAACAATATAAAGGAAGAAATGTCCATCATAGGATGGTATTATGGTCAGAAGAGAAGAGAAAGTCATTTATTAATTTATGCAAAAGTTAAGGCTTGCAGAGTGAGTGAGGATTTGCCAGGTGAAGAGGAAGAGGGAGAGAATTCTATGCTGAAGGCCCTGTGGCATGGGACCCTGCACCCTGGTCATGGCCCTCCTGCTGCCGTTCATATCCAGGTCTTCCTTTTTCTTCCCATTTGCTGAAGAGAGCAACAGAAATCTACCTAGAAGACATAAGGGCATGGCTGAGTATGAGACTAATGTCCTATGGAGCAACAGAGAGAGGCTGGAACACAGAGCATGAGGGCACATGTGGTGTGCGGGTGGTCAGGGTCAGGCAGGGTCCAGGTGGTGGGGGGCCACCATACTACCTGGAGGGGGTGTAGACTCCTTCTAAGGGCAACAGGATCTCTTTGAAGGGTTTAGTCAGAAAAGTAATACGAGCACATTTGTGTTTTAGAAGAGATCAAAGTGAAGAATGAATTGGAGGGAGGCAAGACTTGAGATGGGGAGACCAATTAGTATTTTGATGTGATTTAGCAGAGAAGAGTTAAGTGGGCAGAACTGAGATAGGACCAGTAAATGGTGATAGACTGGATTTTGAGGTCAAGGATGGACATGGTTTTTGGTAGAGGAGTCTGGATAAAATAAACTTATCAAGCATTTGTGAACTTTACACTTGGTTCTATTCCTTTCATCCATGCCTCTCTTCTTTCATCCATGGTTCCTAAAGGAATGAAAATAATCAGGATGATTAGAAAAAGACTTTTAAATTCTTCCTTCTAAACTGAAGCAAATGTAGAAGTATGGAGTTTGAAGTTAGAAGATCTAGATGACTTGGACCATTCAATTGTCTTTGAGCCTCAGTTTCCTCTTTGGGAAAACGGAGACAATATCACTTATAACACTGGGCTATCATGGAAGTTAATTGAAATGATATATCTATATCTGTATCTATATAGATATAGATATATAGATATTGAGACAGAATCTTACTCTGTTACCCAGGTTAGAGTGCCGTGATGTCAGCCTAGCTCACAGCAACCTCAAACTCCTGGGCTCAAGGAATCCTTGTGCCTCAGCCTCCCAAGTAGCTGGGACTACAGGCATGTGCCACCATGCGTGGCTAATTTTTTCTATATATATTTAGTTGGCCAATTAATTCTTTCTATTTTTAGTAGAGACGGGGTCTCACTCTTGCTCAGGCTGGTTTTGAACTCCTGACCTTGAGCAATCCACCCGCTTTGGCCTCCCAGAGTGCTAGGATTATAGGCATGAGCCACCTCGCCTGGCCAAAATAATATATATGTTTTGAGATAGGGTCTCACTGTATTGTCCAGGCTGAAATGCAGTGATGCAATCATAGCTCACTGCAGCCTCAAACTCCTAGGCTTAAGAGATCTCCTGCTTCAGACTCCTGAGTAGCTGGGACCACAAGCCCAACTAATTTTACATTTTTTTGTAGAGATGGAGTCTTGCTGTGTTGCCCAGACTGGTCTCAAATTCTTGGCTTCAAGAGATCCTCCTGCCCCAGCTCAGTGCTGGGATTATAAGAGTGAGCCACTAAACCTGGACTGAAATAATGTATTAATGTATATAAAAGCTTTTAGTCAGTACCTGATATGGGGCTGGCATTTAGACTTCCATTTATTCATTATTTTATTAATTCAATGTATTGTGCAAGAGAGAAGTTTAGTTTGACAATACGGTCTTCTAAAATATGTACTTTTTAATGTTAACATTATATCAAAGCCAACGTTTATTGAACACTTACAATCTACGAGGCACAGTGGAGGAAAAAATAGATGTAATACATTTTTTCTATTCTTAAGGATTTTGTAGTCCATTGATGAAGATAGTATGTATATGTGAAAAGTGTAAAACTAATAAAATATTTAAAACTGTTACGGAGTTCAAGCAACAATAGAGAAAAGGAGACAGGCAATAATGGCAGTTGACAGACTGATTAGATCTATTTGCTTAGAGGAAGAAGATGTCACTTTAATCTAGGGTGCTTAAAGAAGGCTCTTGGGAGGATTTGCGCTAGATTAAAGACGAGGTAGATTTCCTAACCTAGATCAGGCGTCAGCAGTCTACTGCCTTGCCCATTGCCTATTTTGGTATACCCTGTGAGCTAAGAATGGTCTTTGATTGGCTGAAAAAATTTTTTTAAAGAATAATATTTTGTGACATATGAAAATGATATGAAATTCAAATTTAGTGTCAAGTTTATTGGAACACAGCCACAACCATTCTTTTAGTATTTATTGTCCATGCTGAGAAACAATGCAGTTGAGTACTTGTGGCAAAGACGCTATGGTCTGCAGAGCCTAAAATGTACACCATTCAGCTCTTCACAGAGGGTGTGCTGAGCCCCAGTGTAGAGGATGGAGGGACATTCTAGGTACAGAGAATGCCAAGATTAAGAATGGCTCCGTTGTAAGACACAGAAAACGGATGGTCATAAAGAGAGAGGGAGCAGGTAGGATCTTCATAGCAGCCATGGAGGGCAGAGAAAGTGTTTCAGGAAATAGGGGCCGTCAACAGTGCCAAGTGGTACCAAGAAAGCACAGAAATGCAACTGAGCAGAGGATCTGAGTGTTTGTATTTAGCCATCCCTGGGGAGTTTATTTATTTATTTATGAATTTTGGCTTATTGATGGGCTCTCACTCTTTCATCCAGTACGAGGGTGCGATCATAACTCACTGCAGCCTCGAACTCCTGGGCTCAAGGAATCCTCCCACCTCAGCCTCCCAGTAGCTGGGACTACAGGAGTACAGGTTTTAGTAGAGAAATACCTATGTAGTTTAAGTTTAGTATGGAATAGAGGAGAACTGTGCATATTTACATGGAGAGGGAAAATAAAGCAATTAGAGAGGGAGGTTTTGAAGGGGCTATGAAGGGAAATGCTATTTGAAGCAGTGAGGGGGGTGAAAACATCAAGTCAACATTTTTTTTTTTAGCTAAACTTTGAAGTCATCCCAATACAGAAAGTACCATTGAATGAGCTCCTTCATAGACCTTTCAGCTACATGCTCCTGGACTCTGAATTGAATGAAGTGCGGTAGAATTTAGAGCCGATAGATTATAGTTTGAATGTGTCCCAGCTTCTTCTCCCAGCTTATTAGTTCTTGGTCTTGGGAATGTTGCTTAACATCTTTGCTTGGTTTGCTTATCTGTGAATAGAAAATAACACATTCATCAGAGGATTGTTGTGAGAAGTAGTGAGATGATTCTGTTTGGGCAATGTTAAAACAATGGAGTTTGCACTTAGTACATTTTCAATAAGAAATAAATAATAATACTGTGATGATTAAGTTTATATGTCAATGTGGCTGAGCCATGATACCCAGAGTTCAGTCAAACGTAAGTCTAGATGTTGCTGTGAAGATATATTGTTTTTAGATGTGATTAACATTGACATCAGTAGACTTTGAGTAAAACAGATTACCCTCTATAATGTACATGGGCTTCAACCAATCAGTTGAAGACCTTAAGAGAAAAGGCTGAAGTCCCCCAGGAAAGACGGGATTCTGCCTCCAGACTGCCTTCAGATTCCAGCTGCAAGAGTCTCTAGCCTATTGGCCAAAGCTTTCCAAATTTCATACTTCCCAGTCCCCACAATCACATGAGCCAATTCCTTAAAATAAATTTCTCTCTTTATATATGCATACATCCTATATATTGGTTCTGTTTCTTTGGAGAACCCTGACTAATACAAATAACATCTAAGTTAGACAGTTATCACTATCAATGAAAGTGTTGTTGTGTTAAGGGACATTTGCTTTAAACCCCAGACATGGTACATACAGTGCAAAGATGTCACTGCACTCACCATACCCCATTCCTATGCCTGTGGCAGACATTGTTAGTTGATCACAGTGGTCTTCATTGCTGAAACTAGATGTGCCCTCAGAATTTTTAAAATACGCTGCTCTAGAAATGATTAACAATTGATTAGAGTTGGCACTTAACTAGAACCATAGTTAATGTTCTAACCCAACCCATATTTAGCTATCTATAGTACTTTGTTTGGAATTCTTCCTGGAACTTCGCCTTTGGGATTAATAGATCCGAAATTGTAGTTTAGAAGTTAAAATTTCAATTTCTTATGTATGATTCTACTAGCCAGGAAAGTCCTTCATCTTATGATGTAAAGACCGTGTTGCCATTATTTGTCATTTAGATAAGTTTTTAAAATATTATCTTTCATAGGTAAATTACCTTTTAGTGACTTTGAAATTTCAAAATAAAGTCAGAATAAAAGAATAGCCTAAAATTATACTTTTTTATTTCTTCCAAACCCCAGGGAACATTTATGCAGCATTTGTAAAGACTTAGTTCTAATCCTTGGTTAAAGTGTTTGACCAAATATTCTTCTCACTTGAATACGTGTAATGTTTCTTGAAATCAAATAAATGCACACAGCAGAGGGTTAACTCTTACATTTTTCTAAAGCTCTTGATAAGAGATTTACTCACAAAGCAGATAGAAATTTCTTGACTTTTCAGGTTTTGGGGTCTGTTACAGAAGAATTTTGTTTGCACTGTGTATGAAGAAAATATATGTTATGTTGGAGTGTGTTGATAATATCATGTTTCTATGGTATCATTTTTTTTCCACATAGTTAAGCATTTTAAGATGTTATCTCTTTAGTTTTTCACAGCATGCTAGGAAGGAAGAAGGACATGTTGTTCTCACCTAACAGTGAAATTGAGGTAAGCAGTTACTCACTGTCTTGCATAAGTCACTGATTGAGCCGGGGATGTGATAGGAAACAGAGTTCTGTCCACGGTTGCCACGCAGCATTTCCCATTCAGCCCATTAATACCATTTTCTTTTTCTTAATTTAGTGACTACACGTTTGATTCTTGCTCATCTGCTCTGAGGGAAAGAGAACGAGGCATAATCTCAACCGGTAGATGATACAAAAATAATTTGGATTTGGCATGAAATATGTTTTTGTACTTGCATTGGAACCTGGGTGTGTCTGGTGTTCTAGAAATTTATAGCATTCCAATCCAACGGAAGAAACTATGCAAGGAGACCTAGGGTGGGAACAGTCACAAGTGTACCTAGTTTGTCTCCTTTTTCTTCCAGACCACCTCTTGCCTTCCTCACGCTCCTACTTGCTGGGGTCAGACAGACTGTTGTATTGAAACAGACTAAGGAAAGCTGTTGTTCTTACTCTAAATCTTATCACAAGACACTTATTTTATCCTTTTCCTGGGAAGGGGAGAAACTGGTATCTTGCCTTAGAAATTGTTAATCTTTGCTTAGAATTTTGCTTAAATACAAAAGCACTGATAAGACTATGTACTCAGGAAGTGTAAAGCAAGATTTTTATGCATATGTAATAATCAGAAAAAGTAAGAAAGACATTGGAAGTGTTCGATAATGTATGGAAACTAGATAATGACAAGTGAATAAGAGACCTTATAGGAAAGTGAAAGTATGTTTTACTTTAGGTGATAAATGAAAATAAGCTCTTTTGCAACATTTATTCTTTTGTTCATTCAAAAAAACAAACACAATTATTACCAAGGTGCTGATTTTGCAGATATTCACTTTCATCCTGAATTGGGACGACTGTTGGTTGCAGGGATCGAAGCCCAATGTAGCCATAAGGAAATGTGCTGACAAATGTAACAAAATCAAAAGGGCAAAGGTCTCACTGACTTTAGTGATGATTAGGACCGGGGACCTGAATGGTGTCAGGGCTCTCTATTTCTCTGTCTGGCCTCTGTTTCCCTCCGAAGCCAGCTCCATTCTCGTCCTGGTTCTCTCTATGGTGGAGGTGGAGAGGATGACAAGTCTGCAGGCAGCCCTTGATTTAGTGACTCGAGAAATAAGAGAGTCTTCTCTTGGCAGCCCAGCAGAGAAATTTTGGGAAGCCTTCCAGTATTTCTTTTTGGTTCATATGTCTATCCCTGAATCGATTGCTGGTTCCAAGAAGAAATGAGACTCCATAGTAAGTCCCATCAAACCCTGTTGTGAAGTTGGTAGTTCCTGTTAAGATATGGACAAGCAGGGGAAGAGTGAGGGACAGACAAAAGTAATAGCTACTATGCCTCCACTTATGTTGATTTTTAAATATAGGAGTCATTTTATAATAAATTTATTACTTTTCTCAGAAAAAAAGTAAAAATCTGCAAGACAAAAAAAAATCTAGTATTTATAGGATAATCTTGTTTTGTTTTGTTTTTTCCCTTTTTTCTAGAGATGGAGTCTCTCTCTGTCATCCAGGCTGGCATATAGTGGTCAATCATAGCTCACTGTAGTTTCTAACTGCTTGGCTCAAGCAATCTTCCTGCCTCAGCCTCCTGAGTAGCTGGGACTACAGGTGAATGCCATCATATCCTGCTAATTTTCTAAACTTTTTGTAGAGATGGGGTCTTGCTGTATTGTCCAGGATGGTCTCAAACTTCTGGCCTTAAGCAATCCTTCCACGTTGGCCTCCCAAAGTGCTGGGATTATAGGCATGAGCCACTGCACTCAGCTCTCACAGGATAATCTTAACATTCCTGTTCAAAATTCTTGGAGGGTACCTCACTGCTAACCCCATGTACCATTTTAGAACCTTTAAAGGGCTAATTTCCTCGGTTTATCAGGTCACAAGGTGCATAGATATCAGTTTCATAACTCGCACAACAGGGAACAGTCTTCATTGGGATATTTCCAAGTAATCCAAGTTTTGCACACACAAAAAGGTTAAGTTTATGTAGTGGGTTGATGAGTGAGAAGAGATCTACTGTTGAGGATTCATCATCTGGGGGAAGTTCATCTTCTCCAGGTGTGGGATAAAGATTCCCAGAGGCTATAAAATGGATGATGTTGTTGAAAAGATGGGAGAGTGGAAGCCTGTGAGTTAACACAAAATTCTGGGGAAATTAGAGCTCCTTAAAAGGGACTAAAAAGTAGAAGAAATGAAAGCACCTTTCATTGGCAAGTTTAAGTGCTTTCACTCTCTTCCATCATTCTGTGGGATGAGGACCCATGAAGATGAAAGAAAATAAAGAAGCTACATTTTATTTGCGTATGTGTGAGTAGGCTAAATTGCCATAATTGCTACTATCAGATTTATATTTTTGAGAATCATAATTCTGGCTATGATTTTGCAAATGTATTAGGGTGCGGTGGGATGAATGGCAGAGAGCTTGCTTAGGAGGCTTGTGACAATCCAGACAAGAGTTGAGGATGGCCTGGACCAGGGAAATAGTAAACAGTTAGAGAGAAGTGGGTAGATTTGAGAAATAATAGGGGAAAATTAGAACTTAGTGATTTGTTGGAGATGGGGCTGAGGGAAGGGAAGAGTGAAGGAAGGATTGTCACCGTCCTCTATCTAGGTTTCTGGTTTGGGCATCTGATGGATAAAGATACCATTTACTAAGATAAAGAACCAGAAGGAAGAATAGGTTTGGGTAGTGGGAGATTCTGAGATCAGTTTTGGCCATGCTGAGTTGGAAGTTTACAGTTAGGTTTACATCTCCACCCAAGAGCTGTCTCATATTAGTCAACACACAAATCCTATGACTCTTCCCTTGTTCTTTCTTTTCTATTTTTTCTTCTACCAACACAATTCTGTTAAAAGATAAAATTAGATATATTAAAATTCTAACGAGTTTATTGGAGCATTCAGCGATTCATGAATTGGGCATCACCAGACCTCAGGTGGTTGAGTGCTCCACTAGGGGTTAGGGGGGTGGGTGGGAGAGGAAACACAAGGTGTTCTCAGGAGCAAGGCAAAGAAAATAGATTTGATTGGTTAAAGTGCAAAGTCCCCAGTTAAAGGTTAGTTGGTAGTTTCTGGTTGGTAAAATCTCTAGTTAGAGGTTATTTTGGTGGTTTCTAATTGGTTAAGCTTAAACTCCATTTTACTGTTTATGTGGAATTGGGCTTTGGTTTGCTTGTGTAGGAACCCAAGGTGCTGGAGTCAGCTCAGCCTAATGGCCTCTCATTTAAATATTTTTCACAATTTAGACTCCCATCACCTTACATCTGGAAAGTTGAGTTACCTTCTATCTCCTCCACTTCTCCAAATATTCATTCTGTACAGGGTTACAGTATTAACGTACCTTAAAGCTGGTTTTGATATGTCATCTTCCATCTCATATTTCAATGCTTTCTTATTAGCTGTGTTATACTTCCAAGACTGCTTACAAATTGGCTCCTAACTACTGCAACTTCTCCCACTCTCCCTAACTGAGCATTTGTCCCGGTTTGGTCAAACTAGAACTTTAAATACAGCAAACTATCTGCACCTGAGCTCACGTCTCTGACTCTTTAAACTCAGCCCTCAAGGGGCAGCTCTTCTCTGGAGGACATCAGTTCCCTCCGCTGCAGCTCAGTCTGTTGCTGTTTGTGGCCCTCCCATGAACATTTGCTCTTCTATTGCATTGTTTTGCAGTCTCCTGCTCATTTAATCTCTGAGAACAAAGATCAGGTATCATATACTACTTTCATATTCTCCAGAGCACCTGGCATAGTTCTAGGTGCAAGGCAGGCACTCAATAAGTTATTTGTTGACTTGCAATATTGAGGTAATTTTTTCTTTCCCACTCCTCTTATCTCTCTGTCTGAGCAAATGAGGTCTATATGTGAAGGCAGCTGAGATTAAGCATGTAAAGTGGAAGAATAAACAGCAGACAGAGGAGATTTTAATAAATTTTATGATATTAAAAAGTCATAATTGCCTACTAAATCTATTGTTTAAAGCTATTGTTTAAATCTATTTTATTTGGATTCTCCACCTCAATTTCATAGCATTTTGGTGGATATTTAACTACTAAAAAGCACACAAGTGCTATTAATAAAACGTAGGATGATTATTTTTTAAATATTTGGCAACAAAAAGAAACCTGTTTTAATCCAAAAAGTTATTGTGTTTTTTTTCCAAATGACTTGATAGCAAAACTCATTAAATTGTTATGTAGATCACCTATTTTGACTCCACATTGACTTTGGATAGAAAAATCTCATTTCTTTTGTTTAAAAAATCAATGATAAATAAATAAAATATATAGATCAAGTTCATTGGCATAAATGGCGATAGATTTAGTTATAAATCTAAGCCTTCAATAAAAGAAGCTTGGAATTAGAAATTACCAAGACATGCTCTAATAAAAAAAGAAAAAAAGCACTCAAACTGTGATTCAATAGAAACATTTTCCATGTAATGAGCTCTGCTAGCTTTATTAAAGCATTAGAGAAGTCAACTTAAAGTATAGTTAAGTCAACAGAAACTGTTCTAGGTAAGTGAATTTAATCTTCATGGTCACTGACACACAATATAATCTTGTTTCTCTTAGAATTTTATTCTTTAAGTAACTAAGTGACTCACAAGCTCAGAAAATATTTTCTGGTACAGGTAAGTCTGAGCTTAGTGTGAAATATTCTGAATATTTCTTCTCCTCTTCAGATGAGTATTTCAAAAATAACAGCTCCTTTTGGGAAGATGTAATTGGCTTTTGGTTAGGAATGTCTACAAATGGTTGTCCTTTTGTGGAATGTATTTTAGGACAAGCTAGAATATACCTTTTCTTTTCTCCATTGATTGAAATCCTACCAGTACTTTACGGTTTAGTTCAGATGCCACCTCTTTTATACAACTTTGCCTTATTTTTTTTTTTAGGCAGAACTTATCATACACTGCACCTTTTCTGGGGAAGAGGTAAATCTCAGTTAATGTTTATTTCAATTTATCAAGTTGTATAGTTGATATGCACATTTTGGTTGCACCCCAAAAGGTTATAAACTCCTCATTGAAAGTACAAATTATTTAACACTGTATTTTCCTTTGTACCTTAACATTGTACTTTGTAGTG